GACCTATGTATGTATATTAATGGAGAATTCTAAACGAAACTTTTACTATAACCCGCCACTTGAGACCTGCAGCGCCCACAAGGGGGTGTTATCGCCCACTTTGGGAAAGACCGATCTAAACAATAGCATTTATAATATTAGTAAGATTATGTTACATTAACAATGTACATATTTTCAACATAAATATGGAAAAAATAATCAACCATTTAGATATTCATCTATAGATTAGATTATTTGATATATATTTTTCATATCTTTGCATAAATATTTACTTTTATTTTAGTGTGCCATCAAAGTTTTATCCATACCTAACTCCTGATTTCAATGAGGGGGAAAAGCCTCAATATGTGTATGACACTAAGAATATGGAATCCATACAGTCACTTATACAGTTCCTATTACATCGCCTAACAATAACCACAGTAAGTACTAAACCTTTTTTTAGTTCTGGCCATTACCAAGGACCTCTAAACCTTGACTTGACCAAAGCTTGACAGATTTTTATGAAATTTTATAGGCATATACAATAGATCTGAGAATCGACTAGCTGCCCCCCCCACGAGAAATTAAAAAAAAAACTTAATAAGTAGCCTATGTGTTTTTCCAGTCTGTTCTACATGTGTGCCAAATTTCATCAAAATTTGTTAAGCCGTTCCAGAGATAACTTCAAACAAACATCCATCGATTCATCCAAACTTTCGCATTTATAATATTAAGTAAGATTTGCAATCGTTAAAGGTTATTATTTCTTTCAGAACACAAGTAATCAGAATGAATATTTGTGCCCGATTTTAACTGTATTGAACAAAAGTGCACGTAGCTGCCGGGCACATCGTAAATATCTCAGACAAGAAGTCCTGCCTCCATTACGCGATGTATCACGTCCTCCAGAGAAGGGATCCACACTACGCAACCAATTGTGTAGACTGCTAACAACACCAATCACTGCTATCAGAGATCTAGTTGCTGAGTTCCTATTCATTTTGTGCAAGGAGAAAGGTGAGATATCCTAATTACAGTCGAACCAGGATAAGTGAGAGTCCAAGTGACATAGGATAGTTTTCTAGTTTTAAGAGGTGTTTTACAAGTGGAGGTCCTTCGTCGGAATTGGATAATGACTCTCGCTTATACAGTTCTCATTTATCCAGGTTTAACTATAAAATGTTTTTTTTTTTTATTAAATACAAAATTCAGATCTTTCAAAAGATTACTTGGACATTTTTAATTTAAGAAATAATGGCTTGACTATGAACACTTTAGTTGTTATGTAGTTAATATTATATGCAAGTTTAGTATTTTTTTTTAAATATATTATTTTTGAATCCGTTCGGAATGGATTTCCTTCTCCATTCTCTTGTTATTTTAATAAATTGGATATTATACTTTGTAGTCGGACGTATGGTGAAGTACACTGGTTTTGGGAACGCTGCGGGTCATTTGGCGCAGAAAGGGCTGTTATCTGGTGGTCGCGGTCCCGTGGTGTACTCCTCCAGCAGCGAGGATTCAGATACTGAGGAGTATTTGGAAGCGCAGCCCCACATCGACCCAGTGGTGGGCTGCACGCGTCCTCCACGCGTCAATCCATTCGAAGGCATGACGGAAGAACAGGTATGAAGATTTTTTTACATTATCACTGAATTGGTCAATAAGTTCATTCTCATACAAAAAAAAACGTAGTGGTCTGTGTCTGTTGTATTGTTTCTTTTGTTATGTTTATAGGTTTTTTATTCCTTTTTACTTTAACCATAATAAGGTATCGTTTTCGCCCCCTCGTCCATTTGTTTGTTCCCCTTCAAAATTTCGTGCGTAATTGAAACCTAATATCTACAGGACACAAAGTAAGAGTCAAAAATAGACATATATTTACATTTTATAACTTTAATTTAGTATATTATATGATATACTGACATAAGACTCAAAATTTATAAACACAACTAGCTGTTACCCGTGGTTCCCACCGCGCGGAGATAAAAAACTTAATAAGTAGCACGTCTTCTTCTAAACTATGTTCTACATCAATGCCAAATTTCATCAAGTTTCGGTAAGCCGTTCTGGAGATACCTACTAACAAACATACATCCATCCATCTAAACTTTCGCACTTATAATATTAGCAAGATAAAATATTTGAATTCTGGTTCGATACATTGTGTTAGCCATTAATACGTTAAAGCCTAAGTTGGAACAGTACTGATGTGGTTTTGATATTTAATACGATAATGTGGTTTGTAGACAGATATAAGTGACCGCAAAAGCTAATAGGATTTACGATGTGCATGGCCATATGTTAAATCAGTACTCAGTTGACTAATTAAACTAATTTATAAAAAAAAATTGTTAATGTATCGATATAAATAATTAAAAAATAAAATTATTTCATACTAGCTTATGCCCCCGACTTCGTCCCCTAGGAATGAAAATAAAAACATATTAACTAGCCTATACGTCTTTTCAGATTATGTTCTACATCTGTGCCAAATTTTATCAACATTCGTTGAGCTGTTCCGGTGACAACATCCATTTATCCATCTAAACTTTTGCATTTATAATATTAGTAAGATTGATATTTTATTATGTGGAATAAACAGGTCATGTTTTTTTATAGAAAGAGTACGAGGCCATGAAGTTAGTGAATTTATTCGACAAGATGGTGTCAACGGGCGTGGTGAAGCCGGCGCGGGTCGGCCCTGACGGTCGTCCTCAACCCCTCGACCACGTGCTAGAGATGAGGGAACACCCGCCTAACAGACCACAATCCTAAATATTTATACTCTATGTTACTCTTTATCACAGATTAAATATGTAGCATAGACAACATAAAATACTTATAATCTGTGTCATTCTTAAACACAAAATATAGATTAAATATTAAATGGAATTTTAATTCGATTAAATTAAGGCACGTCTTATCTATGTAGTTTTTATTAATTTAAGAATGTATACTTTTAAGGATTAATATTGTTAATATTGCGACTATATTTGTATAATTTTAATTAATTCGATCAATAGATAAATGTTTTAAATGATCGCTCAATTGTATGAAATAAATGACGCATAAAAATCCAATTCTTAAATTTATCTTTTATTTCTTAGCTCAGCTATTAAATTTTTTAATGATCGAGTTTAATTGCCATATAGAATTGCCGTTAATTGAGTGCTAAAGGCATCATTTAGTGTAGATTTCTATATAAAATATGGGACTTTCCAATATTAATAATAAAATATGTATAACTATACCTTTGAAATAGAATTATTCAATATTCTGTTACTATATTTAGTAAATGTTTTTAATTCTGCGTCGTTGTCTGTATTATTTTTAAAATATATCTTTATATTTATCGATACTTTATACCAAAGATATTTTTTTGCATTATAACCTCAATTTGATCTTTTCTAAAATGTATTGGCCATTTTAATAATCTAGGTAAAAAAAGCACACAGCTTTGAAATTTGTGTATTATGATAAATAAATATTTTGTTTTAGTTGTATGCAATTAATAATTTAATAATATATATGAAAATTATGAACAACAATTTTTTTGTTCATAATTAAATCATAGAAAGTTTGTTAGTTTTTCTTATTATCGCACTAAATTTATCTCTTGTAGTTTACTAAAAATTTTAACTTATAAAGCCTAATAGATAGTTGTGTGTTATTTATAATTAAATCAAATATTTGTAGTTATATTTCTAAATTAATGAAATTTCAAACTATTAATGTATTTCATAGTACGTAATGTATACGTATCTGTTATCTTAGTCCACCCCACTGGGTTACAAGCGTGAGTAATGCGATTACGCGCTCCTGACTTAATGTGTACTGTTAATTGTAATATTTATTATGGAATTTATATTCCTTTACATAATATCACTTTTTAAGTAAAACATTTTAAACTTTTGAAGTTTGTTTTAATTCCACATAACCTTAACAACGGTCATGTTTATGCAATTAATAGTTGTCGCCTTAATACTACGACTTAAAATTTAATAAGTAGCCTATGTGTTCTTCCCGACAATGTTCTACATCTATGTTAAATTTTACCGAGATCCAAGCAGCTTTCCCGGAGATACAATCCATCCATACAATCAAACATTCGCATTTATAATATTAGTAGGAAGTAAGTCAAAACGACGTTTATACATAGAATTCCAAGAATGTGACATCGTTGTCGTTGGTAAGGTACGGTTATGGTAAGGTTTACTAAATGCAAGTGGGACCAGCAACGGTCTTAGTTCTACTAACGGCCTAAGTTTTATTTCTACTGCGTCCACTTTTTTTACCATACGTTTAGGGAGCCTTAACAGGGTTAAATGAAACTGTGTAATTCGCAGACCTATGAAAACCCTTTATCCAGCGTCCTGGGCAGTCCCCCAACCGCGCCCCACACTAACGAGGGTATCGAGTCTGGTCAGTCGTAATGTCAGCCCGGTTTCTTGTTTATTAAAAGAAAAATAATGGATACAGTAAGTGGTCAGAGTCGACTTTCACAACTATCTCTTGACTTCGGTGATACTAATTTTGGAGCGTTTATCAAAATAAAATAAATATTTCTTTGAACTTTGTCTTTTAGTTTATTATTCTATTCATATACTTTAGAGTTTTTTGAAGTATTTGAACAGTCATAAGCCTTTATTTATTTTCACTGGTTCTTAAAAAGTATGTATTCAGTTCGAAGTTAAAGAGTAGGTACTGACTACTGACTTACTTTTGTTTCTTGACCGACTTTTATTGTATGCGGCATTTGAGTAGCTTCTATAAGGCTTTTGAAGTTTTAATTGCGGCAGAGCTAATGAAGCAATTGAAAATGGCTCGGTTACAAGCATTCCGGTACAAAATGCCCTATGTATCGCTCGCCTGACACAGTTGGAAACGCGAGGGCGGCTAAGGCGGGCGGAATTTATGTTTTCCCTCCGATTTTAAGCAGTACTATCGTAATATTATTAATTACATTTTAAGTAATATTGAACTAAATGTTATTTTGATTTTAATTTTAGTAAAACAGTTAATATAAAAATGTTGTTTCTAGTGAAATAGGTGAGTGACCTTTCTTTGTTTGCCGTGTACAGCCAAGTCGATGTAATTCGCGGATCCTTTGTTTGTTAAATGTAAAGAGGATTTAATTAGATATAAAACAATGTATTAAACATGATTATTTTGTTTAAAATTGTCATGTTTTTTTAAGTTAAAAAAATTGCTAAGTAATCTTATAGGTTTAAGTACATTAATTGAATATTATTTAATAAATTAAATCTGTACTTTACATCCAAGAGTTATCGAACCCTTCGTCTTTCCCAGACGTAGTTCATTCTATGTTCTAAATATAATTTTAAGTATAAATAAAATAAAGATTTATTTGAGATATTATTTCTGTTTAATTTTGTAAAATTTAAACATCATTAATACTTTTCTACGCCTATCAGAGGACGATGTTGCTGGTAGTTGTGGGTTTGTTGGCGAGCGCCCACAGCACCCCAGCGCCCTCAGTCGCGACGTGTGAGCGCGCTCCGCCGCACGCCCAGCCCGCTGACAGGCATTACAAGCTGAGTATTGCTGGTGATCCCGATTTATATCTACCTGGAGAACTGTACACTGGTAATACGTTATACTTACGTACATCTTTTACGTCTTTATGTAAACTGGTAGTAACCCATTGTTCGAAATTCGACCGCAATTCATAGTAAAAGATTTTTATTTTTGATTTAACACTGTTTTATGCCCTTCTCCACATTATATATGTGTCAAATTTCTTGTTCATCTGTTCCAGCAATTTCTTTAATATACCTTACCTTTTAGTTTAAAAATTGTTTAACGAGCGATACTTAATATCCACAATTTTCAGTATCTTTACATGGAGTAGATAGCGGCGAAGGCCCGACACCATTTACAGCTTTTACTATCTGGGCCGAAATTTACAAACAACACAACGAAAATGATAGTAAAGCCATCAATGATACAGTTAACACCACAAATCAATCGTTAGGCGTTTTTCAAGCTTATGATGCCCAAACTAAGCTATATGAGGACTGCAAACCAGCTATAGGCAATGCTACTGCTCACCCTAAAACTGAAATACAGGTTTGTTAACAGCATAATAGTTAGTTTTCCGTTTTATAAGATAAAAATAACATGAATAGAAATGTATTTTTTAGGTTATTTGGACAGCCCCAAAAACGACCTTAGACGGTTGCATTAGGTTATGTGCGCGAGCGTTTCTCGCGAAGCCAAAAAATGGTCTGGAAGAGCGATCATGGTCTGTGTTGGCGCGAAAGCTGTGTCCCGCGCCTGCCGCAACAGTCACCGGGAACCGACAGACTCCTATCGTGGAGCCGTGTTGTGCTTGTGATGAGGCTAAATACGAGGTAATTTTAAACAAAATGCTGTCTAGTTTATATCTTCCCTTATTGTGTCTACCTTCTTTCTATCTTCATTTTTGTCTAGGTGACATTTGAGGGATTGTGGTCTCGGAACACTCATCCCCGAGACTTCCCCCCGGAGGCGGCGCGTGCGCACTTCGGAGACGTGATCGGCGCGTCACACACAGCGCAGTACCGCGTGTGGCAGGAGGGTCGCTCCGCCAGCACGGGGCTACGGCGACTCGCTGATGATGGAGCCACTACTGCTCTGGAAAAAGAGCTTAAAGAAGAAGTAATAGTTAATTCTTAAGTCCTATCTCTTTTAAGAGTTTTATTTTTATTTCCTGTATATAGCTATACGCATTATTGTTAACAGAGCGATCACATAAGGACAATAATCAAGGCACGTGGGATATCTTGGCAACAAGTATCTAGCGGCGGTATACCGAGCACCTTCGCGGTGTTCCGAGTTGACGCAAAGCACCACCTAATGTCCCTCGCCGCGAAGCTGGCGCCCTCGCCCGACTGGATCGTTGGCGTCTCCGCGCTGGAACTCTGCAACGCCAACTGTACGTGGACCAGGTCTGCCACACTGCCTCTGTATCCCTACGACGCAGGGACTGATAGCGGCTTGAGTTACACGGTAAATGTTTCAATATGTATATTTTACGCCCACGACTATTATTTTAATTGTATACTCTAAATATCCCATGGTTTCAATCAGGCACGCCGTCAGCCAACTTCACCTCCGGCGCCGGTGCGCGCCCTGCGTCCGGACTGGCCGCGCGACCCGCGCTCCCCTTTCTACAACCAGGCCGGCGAGATGCGGCCTTTTGCACGCCTCAGGCTCTCACGACTGCGGCTCTACGAGAAGAGCTGCGAACCTACAGGTAATAATTTAAAAGCTATGTGCCAAAGCTAAAATGTTTCTTATTACTTAATGCCTCGCCGCCAGAGCCGATCGGGGAGCCAATACCCGAGGCCGGCGGGGGTTCGTGCGCGACGCAGGCGTGGGGCCAGTGGGGTCCATGCAGTACGACATGCGGCCCGGGTCGCGCCGCGCGCCAACGACACTATATATGGCCCGCGCGCGCGCTCACTGATGGATGCCGCGCCACACTCACCGAGTACCGCCACTGTAACGGCCCGAGAGCTCACTGCAGGTCTCTATCCGATTTAGTAACCATGGTATAAGGATAACGATATCACACTGTTATGGTATTTGTATTGTTAGGTTGATATCGGAGTACGAGGCGGAGCCTGCGGAAAGTCACGGGCCGTGTGCGGTGTCGTCATGGAGCGAGTGGTCGCCGTGCGAGGGTTGCGGCGTGCGCGCCCGCACCAGGCACTACGTGGTGCCGCGCGCCCGTAAGCGCTGCCACGTAGGCTACCGCGCCCGTACCGTGCTTAGCCAGGCTATACCCTGCGCCGCTGGACCTTGTAACAAGTAAGACTTCTTTATATCCTTTGTTGGATAACATATGAACATTGGGAGATGATAAATGTATATCATATAAGGTGCAGTTTATACAGCTATAACCTTTTGGTATTTTTCCAGACCTACCGGAAAATTTGTAAATGCAACCAACTTTGACTGGTTCTTCGTGGTAAGTTATTTTAAATAACTTAAGCTTGGGGATTTAGCTTAGAATCTCACGATTTTAAAGCTTAGGATATAACCATTTATTTAGGATGATCCCAGTTGCGAGTGTGAGGTGAGCGGGTGGGGAGAGTGGTCTCCGTGCTCTGCGCGGTGCGGGCGCGGGCGGCGTGTGCGCAGCCGACTGTATGTGGCGCAGGACTCGCGCGTGCAGCGACACCTAACACGTCGCCTGCTGCACGAGTGGAACCAGCGCTTTGCTCACATACAGGATCTGGTGAGCCGGTTGATAAGATGATTATATTCATTTTTATAGGAGAAGCGGATTCGAGCAGCGGATTGTCTACTGTTAACTGATATGACTTTCTTTTACATGCTACACACCAAGGGTACTGTAGACGTTGTTGTTCGTTAGAAAACATTTTTTATTGTTTTCTAGAATGGAGCTGTTATTATATTTGTTATGTCGTTGGTGTTTATTAGTTTTTATTTTAACTATTATACATACATATTGCTTGTTTTATGTTAGATAACTATAACTTGCACAGCAATAAGTAAAGTATGTATTATTTTACTTGTAGGAATCTGCTACGTTGAACATGACGGCCGAGGACCCCGAGGTGGAGCGGCTGGTGCAAGAGCGGCTGGAGCAATGTCAGCTCACGCTGACGCAGCAGGAGGCTCTCTGCGACGGCGACGGCGACTGCCAACAAGTTGGAAAACCACAAGGTATATAGAATCTAAGATACCTTAGTTCATGTAGACTAGAAAGTTTGGCTAAGTTTGTTCGTGATAAGTGATAACTAACTAACTTTGACAAAAAATCGGTGATACGCAGACATCTGTTCGCTACCGGCGGCGGTTGGTCCGTGCCGTGGGTACGAGGAGCGCTGGTTCTATGACAAGGCGCGCGGCTCCTGCGAGCCCTTCGGCTTCACCGGTTGCGGCGGCAACACTAACAATTTCCGTACCAGAGACATGTGCCAGCGGCACTGCCAGCGTCCTCGCAATGCCACTGGTACGGAAACATATATAGTTAATTAAACGTATTCTTATTTTCAATTTGTGTGTGTTCTATCAATTGTGTGTCAAGTTTATGTCAGATTCACACGTATCCAAATCCAGAAATTAATCCGTTTTATGGAAACATAATCGCTTTTCCGCGAAGCACATGTCCTCTATATTATAGCTAATAGCGACAGATCTTGGAGAAAGTGGTATGACAACACTTTCTTTACCATTCATTTTCTATGTTTTTTAATCCCATTTTAATTTTTTTGAGAACTTCGGACTTGTGGAATTTAAACGGTTTAAAATAATATGTATTTGGTCTGCTTCTAGTTAAAGCTCAACCTGTTAACGTCGAAACGATACTATCTAAAAAATTGAAGCCAACTCCATCCCGTGAGGACAATGAAGTAATGGTGAATGACAGACCAGCACTTGGTAAGTAAAGTTTTCTAATACTTGTCAAGGTCACTGCCAATTTATTCCTCTAGTAAAAGGCGACAAACGAGCAAGCAGCCTCCTGAATTCACCAAAGTAGTGTGCGTGCTTTACGTCCGTTTAATGGACAGAGTAGGGGACGAACAGAAAGGGAATATGACTGTATTTGCTTAATTAATAACGTAATCATTTTGTCCGACATGGATAAAATTATTTCTATTAAAAGTACTAAGATATAAACACCTCAATCTATGTGGAATATGGACGAGCGAATAGCTTTAACTAAATTTATGAAGGAAAAATATATGTATATTTTTTGTTGTAGTTAATGTGGACTGTGAGACTGGTCCTTGGCTGGGCTGGAGCGACTGCGTTGGCGACTGTGACTACGCTATTAAACTTAACTATCGTGTAATTGTGGTAGGTTTATTTATATTTACAACATTCATGAACATAATATTTCTTATATAACTGATTCCGTATTCAGTTTTATTTACACATAATGATTATTAGTGTGATTGGATCAGTTCGTCGTAAATAGATGTATGTATCTCACAGCTTTCTAATTCTTACAATCTTAATAATATTATACATGAATGTTACAATAGACCGATGGATGTTTGATAGAAGGTGTCTCTAGAATGACTCCACGCATCGCGAAATTTTACACATAGGCTTTTTATTAAGTCGTTTTTTCTTAATCCCGCGCGAACAGAGTTACGGGCGACAGCAACTCTTTAATTTATCATTAATATACTTTATGGGTACTATTGATGCAGCAGACTGGTTCGGGAATGGGAAGACCGTGTCAGAAGTTGATAAAAAGCCGGACCTGCAGACCTGGACATTGTCGAAGACTTTTTGCTTTTACTAATAAAACTTCTTTAGAATGATATCGTAATAGATGATACTAAAATTATAATTGATAGATTTTATTGTTAAAAAGTAGTGTGACCTGTGTCCCTAATTATAAATAGATGTTTTAAAATATACTTAATAATATCCTAAGAGAAGTTTACATATTATATTTTTCTTCTTCTTCTGCTAGCTCTACAGCCCTTTGTGGGCCTTGGCTTGGTCCAGCAACTACATACTACATATAATATTGGTAATAACTAAATGATTATTCTTGTGGAATTAGTGCATTTGTAAAATAGTAAGATTAATTGTTAAATACTGTTCTTCTCTTACTAAAAGTTGTAGAAAATCTGTTCAATTCAAACCATAATCAAGGAAATTGAGTATAAATAAAAAACAAATATTGTTAAAATATTTTTAATATCTAAATCGAAAACAAACTTCAACAAAGCTTTGTACATAGTTTATAATTAATAATTCGTCAACATCATGTTATTAAGACGATTATAAAATATTTGAACACGTTATCAAGTTTTTAACAAGCAATTTTATTTAATACTGCCTGCTAGGAACATCACAGTCTTATTTATATTTAAAATAAATTTACATTTAATTACAAACGTTAAGAAGAAACGTTTAAAAGTTAAGGCGCATTTGTCCACTCCTTGGCGTCTTCGCCTGAGAGTGGAGAGTGGGCCTAGCATGAATATTTGTGACAATCTGTATTAAAATTTGTGCCCCTACCGGTCGTAAAGTACACCAACTAATCACATGCAAATGACATATTTTCTCGATGATGTTACTCGTACCTAGGCGGGTGTCGCAATTCGTGCTAGGCCCTCATATGATTACTTATATAGACATATACTGTTATCCTTTACATTTTCTTTGAATAAACTGAGACAACAATATGTATATATACAAGTTTTATCCCTGTTGAAAACCAAAGTTAAATGTTTTATTAAGCAGTTCGCTTAAGTTTCAAGTTATTGAACACAAAGAAAAGTTTTTCAATTCTTGTATTACAATGATTCCTAAATTACCATAAGTAAATAAAGAAAAATAATAATTCTTTTTTGAAATTTTGTAGGGTCTTATTATTTTTAAATAAATTTATTACGACATATTTAAAAAAATGTTTCTGAAAGTAGTTTTCAAGAAATTTTTTAAAGTCAATTTGTACTTTCTTGTGTATTAAACATTTTTTTAGTAAAATTCGTCGCTAACGAACTGTTACTGTAAATTTTCACTATCGAAGCACTCGTAGAAATGAAATAGTGTTATTTCTGTTTTCACAAAGAGAATAATAAGGAGAAAAAATGTATTCTGGCAATGAAAACTAAGTATTACTATTATTGATTGATGCCCGATTTACATTATTCCGGTCCAGCGGTGTTAGATTACAATTGAAGAAATATTGGTGTAATAAGTTAAAAGCTTGTGATTTTACATTTTTTCTATTGTATTACGTGTTATATAAATACTAGTTTAATGGAGCCAGATAATTGGCACTCAAATGAAGCTATAACTGTGATTGATAAATATTTAGCTCTTGAATTAGGAACAAATAGAGTAGACCAGTTTAATCTCATGTAGTGTTTATTCATTCTTTGAAGCACTAATTTTATGTATGTAAATAAAATTGATTTCTCTACATTTCTCTCATTTTGCAATACCTAGTTTTAAACTGTTGTCAAGAAGACGAAGTGTTCGGCCATTTTCTATTTATATGTATATTTAAAAAAAAATATATATATTTAAATCTCTGAGTCTTAATACTATTACCTGACTGATTTTACACTGACCCACTCAAGTTCAAAGTTGCTAATCACAACAACTGGTCTCACACCAGTAATACATATCCTCACATTTCTAAATAGATATATTGACCATTTGTCACATCATTTATCACATCTAGAAAATGGTTGCTAACTCGAGAAAGGTTGCCGACCCCTGTCTAAGACTATAATCTTGTTGACGTATAGTGACAGCGCGGCAATGCCACGGTACTCTTGATTTTTTATTCACTTTCACTGACTCGTAGAGCGTGGGTATAATATTAGCTCGTAAATAGAATACACTCGTACTGTGTAAAAGTTCTTTGGTTGGACTAAAACTAACCTAAAATTATTTTAATCTTAACATTAGTTTAGAAAATGCAGTATTTTAGTACCCATTGAGCTTGGCGCTTTTTACACTCAACACTTTCGTGTCTTAAATGTAAACGAATCACTTTGTTTTGTGCCATTAAATGCGCGTAATGACAGGCTTGATAGGTGATGCGCAACATCGTGGTGCGATGCACTCTTTTGCGCAAGGACAGGAGCAAGCAGTGTTTGCAAAGTCCACTAACGCCTTTCTCTCTTCTTCAGTACCTGTGAAAATTGATATTTAATTAGTTGTCTACATTAATCAAGTCAAGTCAGCAACAATTTACTTCAATCTTACTTATATCTTATTAATATTATAAATGTGAATGTTTGTTATGTATCTCCAGAACGATTCCAGATTTTCATGAAATTAGGTATAGATGTAGAATACAGTCTAGAAGAACTCATAGGCTAATAACTAAGTTTTTTATTCCTCCTGAACGGAGTCGTGGGCGACAGCTTGTGGTGACATGTCTTAAAAGAGCCAGTTGTTTTGTTTTGTATTTGTAGATCACATGATTCTTCGACGTATTGTAATTATACGTCTATCTATTCTCTGAATTGTTATCGCGTGAACTACTTTTTTCTTGTATCGGGCCTTTAAAAACCTAACTTTTCTCCTTATTTGCAATTCACGTTTAGTCGTTTTATTGTTTTACTAATATTATTTATAATTTAAAATTAAATATTGCTGACTATTTTAAATATTTACTTACCACTAATTGACGTCAGAGTAAATTCTGGCTGCAGAGTTACTAGACCGATTCCATGACGTTTAAACACGTCGCAGACTAATTCAGAATTTCGCAGGTAGTCCTGAAAACAGTTAAAATTATTTGCTAGAAAAAAAAATACTGAATTATTTTATAAATAAAAAAGAGTCACCTATGTATATCGGTAAAAAAAACTTACGCCGAACTCTACGAAATAATCAGTATGATTTTTTGAGCACTTCCTTCGTTTTTTTATTTGGTTAAGGAGTGTCTCATTGTGATAACATGACAAGGTTAAGTTAGTTAGTTTTGATATAAATGCCGTATTTTACCAATAGGTATCTAATGTTTTGATACGAAAATTTTCGATATTTTTAACCGTTTCGGTCTTATAACAGTTTTTTAATATTTTTATGAATTTGAAGCATCATGGAATTTTTTCAAGAAGTCATCGTGTCGAAGTCAAATTTTTAATGAAATTTATGTAATTTTAGACAAACGACTAGTCTTCACTTATATCGCCTAATCACCATTAATATATGATGCATTACATACAGAAATAGTGTAAGCACATAAAAACAAAGTTTAGCATGGTATGGGCATACATTAAATCTGAAGTGTTACCATGCAAGGAGTAAACAAATAGTAAGAGCATGAAAATATAGATGCATGAAACATGACATGATTAAGTGAGTGACAACGGAATCAATCTGGAATAAAAAAACCTATTAAACTGAACCCATATAGATTAATATAAGGGTTACATACTTCATGTGAGCTGTAGGAGATGTGTGCGGTGGCAACGATCTTGTCGCGATGCAGCTGCCACACATGCAGCTCGTGTATGGCCAGCACGCCGGGCACGCGTAACGCCGCTGCGCGCAACTCACACGCGCCCACACCCTCAGGCACTGTCTGCAGCAGCACCAGACCCGCGGAACGCACTGTAAGTACAACAGATACCTATTACTGCGATACCCGCGGGTAATGTAGATATGTGGGCATCACGAAGAAATCATAAAATACAAGAGCTATTGCATGATTGAGCTACGGATATTGCAAAATTCTTGCATGACGTTAATAAACTAGAATAAAGTAGATGGTGGTACAGTTACCGGTTTTTTTATGTTTTAGTTTATCTACCACCTATTATTTCATGTTAAAGGAGTTGTTGAGTGCTGAATTAACATTCTGCCAAAGACGTGGCAGACTGGCTAGAACCTTTGCCTTTTTAGTTTAAAAAAAGTAGAGCAAAAAGAATCGCGCGGGAAGTGTGAACAACAGGATGTAGTCCCTAATAGTGCCGTTAAAGAAAGTTTTTAAATAGTCCTTAATAAAGGTTTTTAAATTTCTCAGGCTAACTGAATCAAGTAATGTATTATCAGGTAGTAAAGTATAAAATGCATAATTACAATGTAACACGCAATGTTATGTAACGCTGTTATGCTTTCTCGTCATAAATCGTTGTATCGTTTTCTAACGGGGTCCAGCATTGTTCTAAACGCCATAGCGCCCTTGTAGCGTTACCATTTTATAAATAATAATTGTTGTATAATTAAGTAGTTTACCAAGTTCATTCATAATTGTTATATAACTGTGCATAGTTTTTATCGTTCAAACTTATACGGCAACTGCAGCATTTCGATAATCCCATTTTATCGTATGTAAATAGTTTTAGTATAAATACAAATTTAATAAAAACATTGTAGGCTATTGGTACATTCAAGAGCCAGACCCAAAACGAGATGGAAAGATATAGTGGTAAAAGACATGAGTTAGTGCCAAATCTCAGACGTAGATGAAGAGACAGAGCGAAGTGGAAGAGACTGGGAAAGCTGATCCCAACTCCTTGTACGACGCAAGCTAGGCAGAGAGACAGAGATTGTAGGCTATTTATTGCTCCATCTATTTACCGTCTGTTTTTTAGACAAAAATCTCTGTATAAAACATATCGTCAACCCTGTCAATCTTTGATGAAATTGTTGTTAATTTGATAACAATATTTTTTACAGATACTTTGGTCTCAGAAACCCACGGTTAGTAGGCAACTATAACTTCAGTGGCCAATTGAGGAACTCAGTTGGTTTCATGTATCGCTAAATACATATATATAAATTTGTTCTTGATGTAAGGTTTTTTTTCAATGAAAAGCACACTGATCTGTTATTGTGCAGTAAAGCGGAAATTCAATTCTTACATTTTTATAACCTTGGAAATCTATAGAAATATTTTAATAAATCGATATCATTCTCGATTGAAATTGTATCAATCTGTATCTGTATAAAACAATATTATGGTCAAACAAAACTGACGGAATGTATGAATACGTGAGAAATACGAAAGTCGTATTAAAACTTTGATTTGTTCTTATTCGTATTCACAAGAATTTCTAACATTTATTTATATCTGTGAAGAATACTTGAAGTAAGTAAATCAAATCCAAAGTATAACAAAAGAGGTTTCGTAGAAATACTTAACTATATTGAAGATTTTATTGGTAGAAGTTAATAATAAAAGCAATTTTAGCGTCCCAATGAACCGGACGCGGCCTGTTACAATCCTAGCATTATAATCGTGAGAGTTGTGAGTTGTCTGATGTTTGAATGAATGTTTATTATGTCAAAGCCACGAAACTGAATTCGATTATGCATGAAATAATGAATTAAATACGTAAAATATTCATTGGCTTAATTACATTAATTAGATATGGTGCTTAATAAACAAAAAAAAATGTTACTTGGATTCTTATCAAAAGAAATACTTATTATATCTGTTACTAGCTGTTGCCCGCGACTCCGTCCGCTTGGATATATAAAAATAATTAGTGTACCCCACCCATCCATCCATCCACATCACATCCGTCTAAACATTCGCATTTATAATATTAGTAAGTTAGATAAAAAGCAGCTCTTCAAAGCATAAATACGAATAAAAATAATTAAAAAAAATTGAATAAATAGTATCCTATGTCCGTCTCCTGGCTCTAAGATACCTCCTCACCAATTTTCAACCATATCGGTAAAGTTCTTGAGTTATAAATAGTGTAACTAACACGACTTTCTTTTATATATATTGGATTTAAAGCAAGAATTTGTCTTATGTACAAAGTAAATAAAGAAATTTTTTAACTGTTAATTTAGCATTACTTAAGAAGAATGGCAGTTGAAAAAAAATATGTATACGATAAACATACGGTTTTTGAATCTCATCCAAACGAAGCCGTGGGCATTTGCTTGTTTATATAATAAAAAAAAACAGTGTGAGGCAGTAGAAACTAATTTTGTTTTCAAAACATTCGTATGTTAGTGACTTCATATTTATGTAATTTGCGTACGAAACACACGCAAAGCGCTGTCTCCATGTTCATTTTTTTAATAATCATAAATCACGCGAAGATAAATGAGTTGCAGTCATTTCCTCGTACTGTCCGAAACGTATTGCAGACGAAAACTAAAAAACAAGGCTTCACAAAATCGCTACACGTAAAATGATTTAACCACATTTAAATGCATTGGCTACATCTTGTATTATGAGAAGGGTTAACAACCCTGGATTTATTTTGACACACAATTTGTAAAAATCAACGTAAGATTGAGTTGGGTAGAAAAACGTTTACTCTCCTTTTGACGTTTCTCTCGTCTCTTATCGCTTTAATTACATGAAATCCTTCATGTGATTTGGTTGGACAAATTTAATTTAAATGTTGACTTCGAACTGAAAGAGACGGTTCGTGGGATGAGGATGTAACCGTCAGTTTCCACTGTCGCAAGACATATAGAAAGTCATATTATTATGTCCGTTTTTCACAGATAGGATTATGATTTGTGCTGGTGTTTCAACAGTGTCTATTCATGATAATAATCTCTAATAAAATGGTATACTTACTGAATGGGTAGTTGCATATGACAAGAACTATAGCGGCGCACGCCGACAGCGCGGGGTCTGCAATGCTGGCCATCTGGGGCTCCCATTCAGTGGTTAGACCAGCGCCGATTGCAAACAGGCTACCTAGGTAAAGAACATTCATTTATTTATATTTTATCGCACAGAAAACAATCCAACACAATAAATATAAGCAAGAGAACGATGGAAAGAAACATACAAAATAAAAAAAATGTCCATCTTATTGCCAAAAGCAACTTCGGTTTCTACAATGTAAAAATGTTCATATTCTTAGTTTGCGGTTGTATATTTCTTAAATACTTATCTTACTTGAATTTATCTTAAGATAACTAAAGTATTATGAAAATCCAACATTATAAAAATATATAAACTAAAGTACGTTTTAACGCAATCATGTTTTGTACAATGGAATTGCTTCCGGTGATTTGTTTTTATAACTTTCTCCCTGTTTGTACGCGGCTCAGATAAGATTTTATATGTACGTCTCGACTAGTTTTCATTACCAATAAACCGTTCTACTGTTTACATTGTAAATAACAAGATTAAATAGATAGAAAAAGAGGTTCCTACGCATATGGTACAGCATACGGTATGTAAATATATAAAAACGTTAACTTTTTAATTATATAAATAGAGACAAGTCATTCATGAGACTGTCAATCAGCCATTATAATTAGTAAAGATCTAAAAAGAGAGGTATATGTTTGTATATAGAAACTTTTTCAGAGCTTAGACACAAGGCCTATTGATTTGAAATTTCCAATAGAGGTCTTAGTCTGTCACCTTGTAAGTGAGCCAAAAGCCTTTGTCGAAATTCATTCCTTAAATGTCTGTTAGATATAAAAGTTTGTATAGAGTGACTTTAAACTTGACACAACATTTTCCCGGACAATAAAATTACTATGTGCTTTATGCTTTGTTGTTCATACTTGCCATTTCAATGTTAAAAATAGGGTTAAAAGTTACCACACGCCAGGTCGAGGGAAAAAGGTAATTATAAAAGACGACGTATCTGCGATTCCAATTAATTTTTGCTTAATATTCTCCGATAACCGTTTTACATCAACTCGTTTGTCACATTCTCTTATTAAAATATAATATTATTATCATTATTGTAAACAATATTTCATAACATCGACGTATCGCAATGTATTTATAAATAGACATAATGCTTGTTTAATCTTTATATTATACTTTCGCTTTTGTTGGGTTCTGTTATTGTTTAACGTATTTTCACTATTTTTTATAAGGCATATCACGCTCACTTCTCGGCATAGGCCTCCCCCTATTTTCTTATGATATGATATAAATATATATTATATTATAATGTTATATTTTCTGTATGATAAAAAGCAATAACAATATAAAATAATAATATAAACTAGCTGGGAATTGAATACTGACCATTTTTTTTTAAATTGGGTACAACAGAAATATATTTTACATTAATAAAGTTTTCCTTTGCTGAATAACTTTCTTGAAACATAATTTTAGTACGTAATTTACATTTCATCTTTAAATAAATAAATTTTTTTACTAAATCACATACATTCATTTATAATTAATTATTAGGTAAATATTGTGTAAAAGACCTACTGACGATGTCGATAGGTGCGTGCGCCAACACTGGCTCTGCGGACCCCGTCTTGAGCACCACACCGCCGCCCTCCGTCATGCTCAGCCGGCGACTGTAGCTCAGCTCTCGTCCTATTAAACAACATCTTTAAATTCAACATTAATATAAAACTTCATTTGTTTTTTTTTAATAATTAACTTTTTGATTGTTGTATATTTATTATTACTTGAAATAATTAAATGACGATGAATTGAGCAAATGAAAATCGATAAAACTTTAAAACTGACTTCATAATTACTAGATAAGTTCAATGTTTTCTTCAACGGTATGTTTTATTTGTAATACTGGTAGCTTGTCAATGTTAAAATACAATCATTTATTTCCTGACACATCGTTTGCAAAATAGTCATTGTTTTCTAATTAACTCATAAATTAGTTATTTAGATTTTTGCGTTTTTGGCTTATTTTAAATGCCGTGTTGTATCGACGTTGCGTACCACGCACTAGGCGAGCTGGCCGCACGTGTAAACACGGGTTTATTTTTATAACACAGCTTGGCGCCGACAATGTGAGCACTACAGATATGTATTTTTATCATGAAATAATATCACGCCCGAAAATATCGCTAGTGTAGATACGCCTTTATCATTCCTCATATATTCTCACACATTTTTTTCATACTGAACATATACTAAATAATTATACATTAATGATTATAAGTACGTGCACTATTATTATGTGCACATTAGAGGTAGTGAGATCTAGAGATCTCTTTAGTGTGAACTAAAATTAACTAGTTATAAATAGCAATGACATCCATGTGCTTATTACTTTGAATAAAATGTGATTAGCCTATTGCTAGTTTCACACAAGGGTAGAGCAGCGAAGCTGAGCGGAGACACTGCAGTACTCCTATTCTTTGTACACACACTTACTATTAAACTACTATTGCTCTACATCATTATGTGTACTCAGACAATAGCTGTACTTCACTGTCTACTGCTCTGCCCCGTTGTTCTACTTTCGTTCGTAATGGTACTGAAAAATATAGCTATTATTACCAGCCAGCAACATGTAGTTAATAGTGTACAGCAAAAGCCCAAGAACAGCAGTGCCGATGATGACTTTAGGATATCTTGGTGGTTGTACATGGGACGAATGTACGCCGAGCTGCAGCGCGTTCACCACCAGAGAGAACGCGAAAGACGCAAACAGTACGTGTACAGATAGCCGGCCGACCACCTCAATACGCGCCCATCCAAATGTATTCCGTAGCCGACCTTCGCGACCCGCGCCTTCATCAGCTCGCTCGTACTGGGAAATAAAGCAATTATTGTTGGCATCAATTGCCGATACTGATATTTAAAGTACATAACAACATTTAAAGACATCAATGGCTTAAGATAATGCCGTTGCGGATGGAAATCTAACACTAGTAACAAAACAACAATCAACCATTAGTTTCTAGAGTATGTCGAATTAGGAAAGAATTAGTGATTTTATAGTTTTGGTAACATTATTTACTGTTGATCATATTTTATCAATTAAAAAAAAACAATCGTTTAATGTAATTACTTTGAATTGCTTCATAAACCGGATTAGACATTTTTGAAATACAACAAAAGAAACCGTAACATGAATTCTTGTAGATAGGATTTAAATTAACCAATGTTACATTCAAATTCCATGCATGGAAATAATACTAAAATTGTATAAGGTTAAGTCAACATATATTTTGGACATATTACCTAATTATTTGCCTATACTGGAGACACTTTCTATTTACTGTTAAGAAATTGAGGTCACATATAATTTGGATTAAAAACCATATTTAAAAATAAATTTATTGCTATTTCGTGGGCGTTATGTGACTTTCTTAACTAGTCTCTGGTCTTGTTTCCTACACAAAACATGTATAACGAGCAACAAAATTATCGAGAGGAGGTAACACAAAGCTATTTTGATTCGTATTGCTACCCGGAGAATCGTTTTAAAGGTAGATTAAATTATATCAGCATAGTACCTTGTATGCGAGCAGTGTAGTGATGAGCCCAAAGAGCCTACAGAGCGAATGGCAGGTATCAACGAGCAGGGTGGGCGAGTGTGTGACATAGGAGGCGAACAGCCTACCGCTGAAGCCGGTCACCGCCAGCAGCAACGCCAGCAAGGACCGCGGCGGCGGTAGCCACTGCAGCCACTCTTTCATCGCCATCTCTGTAAAACAATTATTTTAGTGTTGTGCCACAAGATCTGCAATGACGCAAAGCATCGCAATTGTTTAGGCAATTTTTGGAATACAACAACCTATCTTCTTTTTAAAGCACCATATTGGTTTGTTTATACGAAACTATGACTCTTGTTTACCTTACAAACTTGTTTAGGTCTAAATTCTTTCTTCGGGACCTTGCCTAAAGGGACTCCTTTTATTAATATATTTTAGTTAATTATTCGTTTTTTTTTTTATTTTTATTTTATATCATAGATTTAAGAATTTATGTAATTCTTTATAATTTCAATATCTTAATATCTTTTCCGTTTGAACTGTCCGATAACTTCATATTTTCATGTGACGATTCTAGTTCAATTGAAATTAAGTTACATCCGTTGATAAACATATCGAAAGTTGTTCAGCCACAAACACTAATCGAACACATAGTGGGTAGCTGAGAATGGTGCGTGCGGTGTTCCCAACTGGTTTGTTAATACCGCACCTTCCTTTACTTTGGATTACTGTACTTGGCTCTATATACCTTGAATATGTTACAAATGGAACATGGTTAGACCATGTCAGTTTCTTTTAATTTAATGTCATTATAATTAAAATGTTAACTGTTGCTGATATTTTTTGTGATAATTATCTTAATTTATAATGATACCTGATAAAAGAAAGGCATAGAAATATACTGGTCCGTAACTTCTTTTTTCATCAACAATTTATCATCAACTTTCGAGTATCACTTTAGTAAGATTTTGCACAACACCTTTAAATATTAAGAGAATTTAAATACCAGACATCCAAAAATACTCCATACTTATATCTTGAAAAGCAATAATTTTGAACCATAAAATTTGCATTGTTAATTATTTTAAATGCATTTATGCGTGTGGCATTCAAGCTTGGTTTATTTAGATTTTATCTCATTTAGATATCCATCGCTAAAGTATAATAAGTTTTTGCTATACTTTGCCTATCAAACATGTTAATAATTTAACAAAGCTAGCGATATTATAGTAGCAAGTTATGGTAAATATAAAATTGTTAGTAACATAGAAAACTTTATTGTTAGACATTAAACGTGATAGAAACAATCTAGGAAGTTTATCTTGGTTAGCATAATATTATTGTTATAGTTAGCAACTAGAGCTCGCATTGCCATGCCACGATGACACCGATATTCTGCTTATAAATATTTCTACAGTCAGGGACGTTTATTTACTTAGCATCCTTTCCTGATAAGCAAAGAAGGGGAAGAAAAGGGACTAAAATTGGGTTTCAGGCACGCATACTTATTAGACGAAATGCGAAATTGCTTCCACTTTATGCCTGTCTTTTTGTGGTCGTAGTATTTCACCGAGTAAGCCGACCAATTCATGTAACAAATGTTGTTTGCTGGCGCGAGGTTCAGTTAGTCAATTTTACGAAACGCAACTGCCAAATAAAAATATCACAACGATAAGGGCGTTATAGTTTTCATCGCGCGAACGAGTATTGCGCACAATATCGGATCGTATTTGGGTGATACGCAGTATTTGATAATTGTTACTATGGCTACAAATATCTACGTATGTAATTAAGTAGCACGTAAGTAGAAAACAATCCTTTATAAATGATAAATATATTTATAACATGCTTCTTTATTTAAAAGTAGTTGTCGCCCATGACTTTGTTCTTGTTGAGTGCAAAAAAAAATTAGTGGCCTACGTGTGCTTCTAGACTATGGTCTACATCTGTGCCAAATTACTTCGAGATCCGTTAAGCTATTTGTAAGATAAGTAGTAACAAACATCCGCCCATCTATCCATCCAAAGATTCGTATTTAATGTTTGTGATGATATATTTTTAAAACTAGAATGATAGAATTCGAACCCAAATATGTTTGATAATGTTGTCCTCCTACTAGTTGATAAAACTGCCGGCGAGTATCGCTCACGATACGCGTAGAGATAAAACATATCGAGGTAATGTTCACAATGTAACGACGACCAATCAATTTGTCAATAAAATATACAAACACTTTTACTATCATATTATTTATTTAACACTGTACACTTTCCAACTATCATTTTAGAATTAAGTAAATTTTACTGACCTCATATCAAGCCATACATTATAAACCTAATTAAATTGTTTGGTCGCCACGGTTGACTATGATCTCTAACTTAGGGTAGGTTCCGAGCCCCTTAGAGGGGACTTAGTTCGCTCCTGATGATGATGATGTTTTTATTTAGGTAGGTCTATTTAATGAAATTTCAAATCAAAAATAATTCTTTAAAAAAACATTTTGTTGAACAGAAAAATTACTAAATATTGCCAAAAGAAATGGTTATGGTAGCTTGATAAAACATTTATAAAAGAAGTACATTATTTGTTAACAGAAAAAAAATCACAAATTGACGAAACATAAATGGAATCGTATGCCGTAAGGGGTTAAAAGCCAACACTTTCCTATTTCAAATTAATAGAATTGAATACTAATATTATATGGGCTTATACATAAAAGGAGACTATTGCAAACGGTAGGCAGTAATACGTTATACGACATAATTGAGCAGGCAGTTTAAGGAAGACCGCATTCAACAGTAACAGCCAATCTCCGGCAATTGTGTGCATTGAATAAGTCTCACGATGCTCTATGGATCCATTCATTTCGCACAATCCTTATGACTTATCATTGTTTATTTTACTTAACAATTAATAGGCTTTAACGATTCACAATAGCTTAGTAATTTTTTATTACGTAATCCGATATATAGCAAAAATGAATTTAATCGGAATTACGATTTAAATAGCTAAACTTAGTTTAAAGAACTAAACGCTACTGCTACGTTTATAAATTTTTAATCGTCTCACATTTTTATGGCTTTCCTGAATTTGTAACCAATAATTTTAATTTCTCTTTATGATTATCTAGTTATGGTTAATTGAATCCGGAATTCAATCAAGTAACTATCCGATTTACAAGTTGAAGGAATGTTTAATTAAATACCGTTGCGGCAATGAATTTTTGTTATCATGATTTGCAAATAAAAATATTTCTAAATCACTAGTTAAAAAAAATTGTTCGATTTTGACTATCGAAAATCCCATAGGTTAAAAAAGTGTATAAGGTATATATTAATATAGTATAGGTAATCTATATATATATAAAAATCAATTGCTGTTCGTCGGTCTTGCTAGAACTCGAGAACGGCTGAACGGATTTGTCTTATTATATCTTGATCTTGAAATGTTCCTGGAGGTCTAGGGAAGGTTTAAAAGGTGAGAAAATTTGAGTAATTGCTGGGAAAATCCTAAGTACAGCCCTTTTCTTTTTCACATTTAAACATTTTCTAAATAAAATGTAGAGTCAATTTGAACTTTATTGACTATTTATGTTTTTTTAATTACATGCGGACGGAGTCGCTGGCGATAGCTAGTAAATACCAATAATCTTTCGTTGTATTTATTGATTTCAATAGAATGGGTCGTAACTAGAGCAAGCGACTATTTCCGAATGCTTGTTGTTGTAGAGTGAGAAAAAGCGTGTTCGGTTATTAGCCTATTTCTTTTTTGCGCCGATGAACTTTCAAAAACATTCCAATAATGTAGGTAACCAAACAGCGCAACTACATGCAAACTAGGACGCTTGTAATATGGTACACATATGATTTTGATTGTCATTGTTATGGTGAGTTTACATTTTTTGTATAATTAAAGATAAATAATTAAAATATTATATTGCTCTTTTCTACTCTTCAATAACTCAATCTTTAGGACAACTTTAATGAAATACAAAATCAGTAAATCTAATTTAGTGTTACCCTAAGAAAAAAATTGAGATTCTTCTGTAAACTGTATTTTTTTAAGAAGTAATTTATAAATGGGATTACATGATTTATAAATATCAGGTGATTTAATGATGTTTGTGAGAAAAAAAAGAGAAAAACTAGTGAGGAAATCCAGAGTAGGTGTTTTAAACTCTACGTTCGGATATCTAAATAGATATATGACGAGGCAGGTCAGTGAACTTAGGTCTTATCGAGTAACAAGAGTCTTAATGCTCAAGGTGTCGATACTCGTATATTTTATTTTTGAACAATCTAGCAGTTGTCGACCGCGTGCAAATGTTTGTATAATTTGATTCTGTCTTAAATAATTTCAGTGTTAAACGCCAAAATGGTAAACAAATACATGTATAAAGTTTTTCTGGATAAAAAATAGAGAAGACCAAGGAAATGAAAAAAAAGCCATACTAAAAACGATTTTGCGTCAATCAGCCATAGTTTCGTACATATTCATACTTTTCATGTGATTGACCACAATATACCATTTTCGTTTTAATTTTGCCGGTTTTCCGTTAAAGAATATACAATTGATCTTAATTTTAGTAAATGCGAGATTTCGTTTCGATTCAATGCACACGAATCTCAGATTTACTTTATTATTTCGAAAAGGTTGTCGCAAATGTTTACGGAATAAAAGAGCAACACAGATTGAGAAACACTGGCCTCTCTTAATCGTAATCTTGTTTACTTCTTTGCAATAAAATTTCGATCAAATTCTATAAACAAAGTTTGGTAGGAGTCTGGCTCGTCTGGCTCGTCTGGCTAGCAAAAACAGGAAAGTTTGACGAAAAAACAAGGGGAAGTATTAATATTCTTACTAGTGTTAATTTTTTAAGGATATTCATCAGTATCCTGCTATTTTCCTTACGGACTGCCTGCCTATTGTAACTCTTCAAGTTCAAGGCGATAATACAATTTACAATACACCATTTATTTTTTGTATAAAGGAGTGAACATTTGATTATGTATTGGTCAATTTTGAATTAAACTTATCAGCAACTAATATATTGTATTTAAGCTTATTTTAGACGCTTATCAGTCTGGCTGGGCGAGATATTTCCTAATCTCTATTATCAAAATAATTACAATATAATTAAAGCAATAAAAAGACAAATCAGCATTACGTTAGCATAAAATTTATCATTTGTTTCTTACTGCAAAAGTGATGTGTTTATTTATAACCAAAGCAGATGAGTGAAAACGAAAATGTCTAGGATGTGAATAAACGTAATTTGTTATTTTATATTTTGCTAATAACAAAGTTAAATGTAAATAAAAGTTTATTTTAAAAAAGATATTAAAGTTCTTTGTAAGCGATTTCGTGTTGTTATTGGTGTTTGAACTATCGGTGCCTTATCGCGCCTATTTCTGATGAAGTCAAATATTTTGTATCCGTGTTGGTATACTTATCGCTTTACTTATTGAACAGAAGTTAGTAACGACCAAATATTTTTTATCTTTATACAACTTATAAACATACTCCAATTCGCAAACCATTGTATGATATATTATCGGTGAATAAAAATTTTAAACTAAAATATTTTGGTTTCCCTTTTATTTGTAATTTACGAAATAATATCATCTCATACAACATGTCATAATATACTTCAATTTTTTAAAAAATATTCATGATTCGTAATTGATAACGGGATAGTTGTTAATATCTATTTCCTGTGTCCACAGAATAAAAAAAGTCTTTGAAATAAAAAGATTTAAAAGGTTGTCAGAAAAAAAAAATTAATAATATCTACTCACCGAATTAATTAGCTAACTTTTCACGGGTTAAAATAAAAGCAATCCTTGTCACAACACTGTTTAGTAAACACCAGGCACATAGCAGTTGTATAATATTGTTTATATTTTTGTTAACGTGCGGTACAGAAGAGCTGCGCCCGCGCCGCAAGCCACAAGCCGCACCGATTGTCGACTGACGCTTGCGTGAGCGCGCGCGTTCTTATCGACCAAGTTTTCCCGCCCGATAACAATGTATTAACTCGAGACCCGCCAATAAAAGCTTACCTTTTGACAGATATTTTTTCTTACGCTGCAACAACGCATTAGATTAAAAGCCACTTCTCAAGGCGACTACTCTATCTATATCTCACTCTGGAACTAAAATAAAAGAAAACTTGGCTCACACATTACAAGCAACTTTGTAAGAAATGGGAGACTATCAAACTTACGTTTGTGCATTATCGGAATTTGTTACCTTAAGTTTAGCTTAAAAAATATAACTTTCAACTTCTTAATCGTTATTAGTAGTTTGGATTGAGTGATTGATATTTAGAGGTTAAATACAATTTATTTAAAAAGTATATAACTTACAAACGAAACAAAATTTTAAGGTCGCGCAAACCTTCGCAGAAGTTTAGAAAAAATATTTTCATAAACTTTTTACTAACTTATCATAGAGTAAGCGGAAAAATAGATTAGATTGAGTTAGTCATTTATATTTAATTCATCATATATATTAATGAAAAAGTAAGGAATTAATAAAATATTTCAAATGTAAAAAGACAATGCAAAACATTTACTATAACTAATTTGTTTACAGTGATATTAAAAGATATCAGGTCACGGACGTTGTAGCAGCGATATTTCCGTAACAGTCATGTCTCAAAATATCATCTCGCTCAATTAATTTTACGCCTTGAACTGAATTCTATACGATCAAATTATACTTTTACAAAATTAAATTTTCATAAAATTGAACTCTTCAATATACAAACAGATCTGTATAAATATAAGTATTTATAATATTCAACTACGCTTAACAATATCATATTAACATTTTAAATGCTAATGTTTATCCAAACTTTAGATGGAAGCATGGATGTTTCGTTAGAAGATATCTCAAGAACGGCCGCAAAGATCTAGCTGAAATATAGTATGGATATAAAACACAGTCTGGAAGAACACACACGGTTCATGTTTGATTCTTTATATATTTACTCAATAACTCCGCAACGGTTTAACACATTTTATTGAAATTTGGTGTAACATAGTCTCGATAACAAATGGGATATATTTCACCTTTTTTTTAATTCTGTGCAGACGAAGTGGGATGCAAAAGCTAGTTGTCAATAAGATAATGAACAAACAAAAGAATGGTAACTGTTATTTGATGTACAAAGGGCCATTTTCTAGATAAATAATAAGATGTCAATAAGCAGTCATTATGCGCTTGGAGATAATGGTATGATATCATTTTCATTTGAATGAATGAAAAGATATCGTAATTATACTAATTTAATGGATACAAAAAATGATGGAAGTCCAAACCAACAAAACTTAGAATGTTTAATGGTAGGTTATTAGGGTGTTTAATTTATTGGCTGTTTCTCTAACACTGTTTTTAAAGGTCTCTAAATGTACGGCAATAATATTTAACATATCTACGATATTGTTAACTTTAGGGTTTCGTACCTCGAAAGGAGAAACGAAACCCTTATAGGATTATGGTTGTCCGTCCTCCTGTCTATCAAGCACGTGTGGAGGTATTAAGCTGGAATTTATATCTTCTTCAATTTCTTTTTTTTTTAGGGTTCTGTACCTCATAGGAAAAAAACGGAACCCTTTGAGGATCACTTTGTTGTCCGTCCGTCAGTCTGTCAAACACTTTTTTTAACTTGGACTTTGTTGTAACAATTGCCGCGACAGCGAAGGTCTACCACAGTCAAGTAAAACAGTATAGTTATTCTTGGATATAGTAGTGTTTAGTAATTCAAGATATCAAAATAAGTTCACATCATTTTCATGTTTATTTTATGCTCACGGCCATGAGTAATTGCAAGTCCTTAGGTATTTTACCACGAGTCGATACCCGTGAAGCATGTGGCCGGAGAACAATAAGGATTCTTTAAACGCTTGTATGCATTTCGCATGCGACCAATGGCCGCCATTGCCATGACTTATTGGCGTTTTGAATTATACCTTGCAACTGTAAACTGTACACATTCACACATCATATTATATTGAATATTGTTGTACATAAATAATTAAAAAAAAAGAAGTTTATAAGTTATTTATTAATGTAAGATGAAGATACAAATGTATTTGCAATAAATAGTTCATTCTAAGCTATCGTAATATGTGTAATGATGATTGGTGTACTGTGTAATTAACTTTGGGGTTTGAATTAAAACAAAAGATCTAACTTTAAATCGTTTCTAATCGTATTTATATGTCGATTTGATAAACATTTTTTCGATATGTTTTTATAATCATTAATCTATATTTAAACTACTACATATTGATAAAAATGAAGTGTCTGTATGTAATATCGAAAAAAATATTTCGTACATATAATGTATTTGCGTAGCTGATAACGAAAAGTCAATTTTTAAAATTTTTATCTGTCACAAGGCTGCGTTTGTTCCGGTTAATCTCCGGAACTGTTGGACTGATTTTGACAGAATTTGGACGGGATGGTGGCTGATGCACGAGGGCATACTCTAGGTAACTACTTTTTTATTTCTGTGCCGATAAAGTCGCGGGTAATCGCTAGATAGTTATAATATAAACAGGCGTATGATCATCGATTATATGAAGGGACAAACATAAATATGATGGAAGATAAGAAATGTTATCCTAATGTTGGTAATGGGTGTAGCCTTGAAGGATCAGATAAATTTATTGGTTTTGTGCAATTCACACAACTCCTAATCGCTGTTTTCGGGCAAACATGTTTGATAGCCGATATTTGATAGATAAATGATATCATGGTGTGGAATAATTTCGATTAACCTTGGTTGTGCTGAAACTTTATTCATAGCAACATAATAAAACCTAAGCATAAATTATTTGAGCGTCTGTGGCTCAGGGGTCAAGCACTCGACTTGCAATCTGCAGGTCCTGGGTTCGAATCCCGCCATGTACCAATGTGTTTTTCGATTTCCGATTTACATATGTACATTTATCCGATGTTTTTACGGTGAAGGAAAACATCGTGATGAAACCTGCACATATCTGAGAAGAAATTCAAAGATGTGTTTGAAGTCAACCAACACGCACTTGGCCAGCGTAGTTGACTATGGCCTAATCACCCTTAACTTAGAGTAGGCTCCGAGCCCCTCGGTGGGGACGTATAGTGAGCTGATGATGATGATGATGATAAATTAATTCATTTGTTTTGTAGTGAGAATTAAAATGTATCTTCCATTAAGAACACTTATTTTACATTTTCATTTATAATTATAAATTACATATTAAAATACATAACTCATTGTGGCCAGATTTCTTTTTTGAAGAAAAGCAAAAAAACAAAGTTAAAAGAAACTAAGTTAAAAATTAATTTATAGTGATCGTATATTTTTATAAAGTTGTATGTATGGTATACTATCCAAAATGAACATAAGGTTTAAAATACCTAAGCTCTTATTTAAATATAAGTTATTTCTTTCTTTCTACGCTTCTGAAATCACGTGAATACATTATGCACAATTAATTGGTTTGGGAATGAAAATAGGGACATTAGAAATGTTTTTAGGGGAAAGGGTACATTTATATTTATCATTAGAGTAACATTTTAAGATGTTATAAGATAAAGAAAGTGAATAAAACCTTCAGTATAATATCAAGAAACACATATACTTAAGTGTGTAGAGTATAATATTGAGTAGCCCCATCTGTCTCAAGTCATGTCAGTCACCAAGTCTGCCATTTTCTTACCTTATCATAAATATGTTGCAATTAATTGAATAAATAAAATGTCCTAGATAATTAATATGTTTCATTGTACACGTGTAAAAGCCTAATCTTGTATGTACATTATTTCTTGCTACTTGACTATTGTTTATTTGAGCGATAAGAATCTAAATAAGGTCTTTTGTAACGTGAATTGTGATAAATTGATAAGGATACGAATTAATATTTCAAAATCTATTTTATATTAAATATAGAAGATCATTCGATGATGAACAAAACATTTCAACAGCTTGATTTTGTTCTTTGTTACATCGACTGAATAAGTGATATAGTTTTCAGATGCCTTTTCAGCACTAACAGAAAAATGTCCTGTCCTAAAGAATTCGCCGACTGAGCCGTAACTGATATTTTGTGAAACTTTTTGCTGTTAACAGGATGATGTTTGAAATATAATTTATTGTGACTAGAATTGGGAATAAATGAAATTATCAGATTGCTGGTATAAAAAGTTAAAATAAATCTTCATAGTGGAAACTTGATCTTTTAATTTTTGTGTAGTATTCATGGATACCTAGATTAACACGACAGTGATTGTCGCTCCTACAGTCTGAAAATAATCGACACAGATTACATGAATTATATTTTTGAGAAAACATGTTTACGAATGTTTTGCATGGCTATCTGTTGTACTTGGCCCATTTAAGTTAATTAAGCTGGATTTACATTAATTATCAAAAATATGTTTAAACATCTAAGATTTATCGATTTAAAAATAAGATAAAATAGTGGTAGTCTCTAGGTACTATAGCATTTGTTGCAAGAACAGGCTGGCTCGTCCGGTGAAATACCACGACCACACAGAAGACTTGCGCCAAGTGGATGCAATTCCGCATTTCGTCTGTTATGACTGTGTTTACCCATTGTTTATTTTATTCTCCCTTTCCCTACCCAGCCGTTTCTTATAAGGAAAGGAGAAGGGGAAGTGGATTTGACGAGGAGGTATAGAAAAGGTAAGTCCTTTCCAAGTAAAGTCCTTTTTCTGTGCATCCCTTTCTCCTTCTATTAAAGATAGGCAACGCAGTTCCAATGCGTATGTGTATGCGGTCACTTCGCTATTTCTGCGTATTTAGGTGACCACTTGCCATAATATAAAAAAATGAAGGAAAAACGGATTATATTCAGTACAAAAGATGGACTAGTTTTTTTTTGTTTTTGTCATAAAAAGAAGTTTATGAGTGCTAACTCAAGGTATGGAAAACCTTCTTTTTCATCGCGACAGCAAACACTTTTGGAATTTTTCTTTGACAATTTCATATAATCTATCAAAACGCTGTCACTTTCTTTGCAATAACATTTTACAAATTTTACTTACTATAAAACTTGATATAATTCAACAAAATTTTCGTAATTTTAACATGTTAGACTCTGGTGGAACCTCTTTAAGATCCGGTAAGGGAGTAACATAAGAAAATGTTGAATAGATTTTATTACAACTTTACTGCTGTTGACCGCGACTCCGTCTGCGTGGAATTTAAAAATACCTTTATGAGTAGCCTACGTGTCGATACTATGTTCTACATCTATACCAAATTTCAGCAAGATCTATGCAGACATTCTGGAGATACCTTCAAAAAAACATCCATCCATCCATCTAAACATTCGCATTTATAATATTAGTAAGATTAAGTAGTAAGATATTTGTGCAGATATAAATACAACTGTCGCTAGAAGATGGGAACAAGCGTCGCGCCCGGTCAAACGCTCGCAATCTGCCAGTCCTAACAATTTAAATGCACGGGTAAAATGATTACTTACCTAATTTATTGTTACGGTAATTATAAGAACAAACTATCCTGTTCCAGTTTTTATATGCGTTTAAAACTAATAAGGAAATATAATTCTACTGCCAGAAGTCTAAGATAATCTATTGTCTTCTATATCTGGTTAACTTAGCCTTATTGAATTTTGAAGACATTATTTAAGAGTTCTTAAAAAACTACACAATCTTAAGATAGTATATAATACTAGCGGACCCGACAGACGTTGTCCTGTCTACACGTCTTTAATTTGAATAAATTAATATGAAGTTAATATTTGATGAAAATTGTGAATCTAAACCATTCCCAGATCCCCTTGAACACACACAAAAAATTTCATCATAATCGGTCCAGTCGTTTGAGAGAAGTTCAGTGACATACACACTCACAGAAGAATTATATATATAAAGATATAAGTATATTTTGTATTCATGTTAATATAGGTATGAATAGACATCATTGTGCACTTTATAAGCACTTATTCGTGTCACGGCGGGCTTGTATTTTGAATGTATATGCATATAACCATACTAAACCTATTTAATAAATTATTCGCATAATTATATTCTTATTAATTCAAACATTTTATATGCAATCGCTTCGTATAATTTAAATACTTTTACTATAACTTTAGAACTATTTATTTATACATAATTAACATATAAGATTACTTATATGGCTACGTTTACATTAAAAGGTAAATAAATATGTCTTTAATACAAATTGTAAATGTAATTCAACTGTCCACTTTGTGTTAAACGAAACAGTTAATAATTAACAATCAACAGTTTTGTTTGTACAGCCGGGGGACAAGTCAAACTTCAATGCCGACGTACAAATAAACTGACTGAAGGAATTGTATACAATAACATCATTTATTCCGTTATCTTTTATGAAATAAACATAAAGGCAACAAAGCAATATATATAAGTAGCTGTCGCCCGCGACTCCGTCCGCGTGGAATTAAAAAAAACTATTTGTCGCAGCGTAACCTTATATAGCATAAAGCCTTCCTCTATAGGTGGACTATACAACAAAAGAAATGATTTTTCAAATCGGACCAGTAGTTCCTAAGATTAGCGCGTTTAAACAAACAAACTCTTCCGCTTTATAATACTAGTATAGATAATGATGCAACATATTCATTATTATATTTAACTCGGACCTTTTGTAAAATTTCCAATATATCACTTTAACGACAACTTAAGTTTTCTTTTTACATTTCATATTTTAATATCTTGTTAAGTTTGACAAGCTAAAGGTACCAAGGTCCCTGTTATAATTATAAAGGCAAATATTTTAATCCATCAATTATACAAGATATTCGTCAGGTTATTTAAGAATAATTATTTTTCTGAGAATCTTCACATCGTGCACCTAAATCAAAAGTCTTCCTGTGTTTTATTTTTGAATCTGCGGTATGCCGTATGCGAGATACGTGTTTCATTCTCGATACAAGTTATTGAAAAACGAATAGAACTAATTTAACTGTTGTTTTCTTTTACAGAGACAAAATGTACAGAAGAAACTTATTGCTGGCAAAAGGCATCGTAGTATGTCCCCTACAAATGTAAGTGATTTACAGTAGGCTTCTTAGAACAAAAGTCACGTTTAAAACTTATTGTTATCTGTAATGTCAATGACAGCGATGACGATATGTTTTACGCAGAGTTTTTAGTCTCAGAAACCAAAGGTCAATATTATTTCGTAGAACTTCAAAACTGTTTGCAAATAAACAAGCAGGAATATTTACGTTCATTGTTATCAATCTCCCCATTTATGTAACGCCCTTTTAATTTTTCAACATTCTTTACATGTCCAGTGCCAACGATTCGCTCTGCGAGATCATGTAAATTGTAGTCATTCATTCCGTCTCCTCGACTTGTAACAGTCGTGCTATGTAAAAAAACTGAATTAATTTTTTTTTATGAATTTCTAAAGGTGGCTAAGAAGGCAGAGGATAAGTTGCGCCCGGCATCACCAGTACATTTACACACTGAAGATGATTATGCTAACATAACGTTGACTGAGACAGGTACACACTTCTACACTTTGATAATGTAAATAAATGCGTTGCAAGATGATTAAAAAAAACCTTCACGAGTTCCTTAGAAATAGAGTCTTGACAGACGGGCAACAAAGTGATCCTATAAGAGTTCTTTTTTATCGAGATACGGAACCCTAAATATATGAAGTTCTCATATCATAACGCTTTTACATTCAGACTCATATAGTTAGAAAGTTATTAAGTAATGTTAGTAGTGGATTACCACCGCCAACGTCTAGAAGCTATTAAAAATGTAAGATTTACTCTAAAAGCTCTAGTTAATTTTCAGAAAAAGACGTACTCTTGCCGCCGACGGTTATATCAAAAACTATGCGTTCGTACGCCGGCAAGAGAAGGGAGTTCATTAAGCTGCGTAAGAATGTTATAAGTCAACAGGTAAGAAGTTTAATATAGACTGAGATTAATTATATTGTGTGCTGCCAGATTTATTTTTGTCGGGACGAAGAAGAAAGTTAATGATATTTGCAAGATAGTGGCCCAACTTATTTTATTTTTAAAACATCTTTTCTGGTTTAGAATATGCTGATAGAAACGTATGCATCATTGAAAGAGATAGAGGCAAGGTGTGGAATAAACGACAATAACCTCGGGGACCTTAGACTGCTCTCGATATCTGGTTGGCAGGCGAACGATCTGCTTGTACTTTTAAGAAATGACATAGCGTCTTTACAGAGTATGGAAATTAATGAAGGATTCGGTATGTATATCTACCGCATATAAAAATATTCATCAATAGATAAACGTATCCAAAACAGTCACTTTTAAATTTCCTTGTACTTCCATAGGCTATAGAAATATCGATCGTGTTAAAACAACTGTGATTATGTAGCTAAATTTCTTCAACATGAAGAGTTTGTTGTACGGACTACTAAATTAGATAGATAGATAAACACTTCATGCTCCCATTACAACAAATAATTGACTAAAGATAAAATATATAAATGTGGACGTAAGGTTAGGACCAGAGGCGTTAGTAAGTGAAACTTTTCACATAGTCGTTTGTTTCCAGGGCCACAAATGTTGCGACGGCTGCATTCCCTGCTCAGTGTTATCCCAGACGAGGTGCGTGCGGTGAACTCGGAGATCATGATACGTCGCAACGAGATCTTACAGCTGTGGCGCTCCAAGTCCCGGCCTGAACGACTTAGCATGCATGCTGTCAGTATTCCCCCAATTATTCATAAATTAAGGTTGGGTTTCTGACACCAAAATCCCTGTATAAAATATATCGTCATCCCTGTAATTATCTTTGATGTTATATGTTTTAAACGGAGATTTTGGACTGAGAAACCTAAGGTTCGTTAATAGTTAAAAATGTGGATAAGTAAGATACATATGCAAGGATTTGGTTAAGTAATCATTTAACGGCGAGTGAGATTGATCAAATGCTATATTACAGAACACCGAATGGAAGAACAAAAACGCTGAATTTGAATCACAAACAGAGAATATAAAGAAACTGGTAGTGTCATTGACAGATAATATTAAGACAAAAATAAAGCAGTCCTTTGATGTGGCTAAGTAATTATTTTTTGTTTATGTAATAAAAGTTAATAGGGAGTTATTTACTACATACGTTGCGACTTTATTTCAGAATGCCTTGGATTGACCGGGAAAATTTAATAAAGAAAGTGGAACGTTTACAAAATGAAAATTTAATTTTGCAAGATAAACTTGAAGAAAAATCTAAAAAAGATGGCGAAGGACAAGAAGTTGGAAAGGCGGAAGACCTATCTAAATATGAGGTTATGTTAAATTTTCTTAGTAAAAATTTTATCGGTCACTTTGTACTCATAAATCCATACTTATCAACTGGAAAGTAAAACCTACGAGCTTACGATATAAATAAGCTTTATATGATTAAACTAAATTTTATAAAACAGGCATTACAAGAACAGTTAAACAAAGAAAAATCAGCAAAAGAAAGTTTAAGAGAAATAGTATCAACTGCGGAAAGCATGCTGCGCGTCGCACGAAGTCGGATCGTGAATTTGGAAAAGCAGGTCAAGGAAGGGAAGACGGAACTGGACGCAGCGAAACGCAAGCAGAAGGAATTGGAACAACTAGTAAACAACATAATTTTAATAGTATTATTTAAAAATTGGAATGCATTATCGAAAAAAATGTTTTGTGAACTTATGTCTGTCTATCCACAAATCCGCTTTTGTTCTGGCTAATCACCAAAACGGTTGGATCGATTTTGGTGGAACTTTCATTGGAATTCAACTGATGTGTGCCGAACTTTGGCTATATTTTTAAATCAGAAAAATACAGTGGATTTTTCTGTTATTAGTATCGTCATCGTGAACTGAGCTACGATACGCGGTCGAAGAAATTGATAGAGCTCTCCAAAACTGGGGAAATGACCATCGAGGCCTTATCACAGCAGAGGGATGCCCTTGAACTACGGTTGTTTTTATATGTTAATTTATATTAATTTTTTAACATCCTTATTTGTTATCTTCAGGATTAAATCAAAACATAAATCTTCATTAGTAAAAGCCCATTTGATGGTATGTACAATTTTGGAGAATATTGAGCTTAGAATGTTAGGAGGTAAATTTTATTAAAGTTACTACGTCATGTTTTATAAATTTTAACGAGAAAACTTGATATAGTGTGAAGGAGCTACGTGAGCAACTAGAGATCACTGAAAACGCTGTTTCCGAGAGGGAAGCCAAGCAAAGGAACCGCGCTGACACGCTTCAAGCCAAGTTAACAGAAAAGGTTTCGAAAGATTTGTTTTAATCTTATCCCAGTCAATATTATTACGAATGTTATTACGATGTGAAACCTAAATAATTGGAACTGTTATTTTTTTTAGGAGAAAGCACAAGCAGAAGCTGAAATGCGTGCAACCGCACTTCAAGATCGAGTCAAAGATTTGGAGAAACAGTTGTCTGTTATTCAAGAACGATGTACAAAGCTTCTAAACATAGAAAAAGAACACTGTCTCGACTACTTACCTTCTAAAGGTATGCGCAATTTTTTTTCTCTTATTATGTAAACAGTCGCTGGTTGATTACTATTAAGGATGACAAGAGCCACTGTGTCCATGTTTAGCACAAATATTTACAAACAGACAATTTTATACTTTGTCTAGAAGTGACTTTTAAAGATTTTGAACTGGTTTCTTGTTAAATGTTTAGAAGGCGAGCCTTCTGACGGGGAGACTGAAATATGGAAAGAACTGCAGGACACGCGCGCCGCACTTGTCAGGGTGGAGGAGGAATTGCGACAGACTCGCACTGATAAAGATAACTTTTTAAATTCATTATCAAGAATTGCAGTAAGTTTCACCTTACTGTAGCTTAGCTTAAGTATTTATATAGGTGATAAAAATAAAGAAAAACTTTAAAACCTACTTTAATTAAATACAGCGTTGAAACATAAATATTTAAGTTTACCTATTAAGTTTCAAAGTATAGAGATGAAGACGAGCGAGTAGTTTATTAAACGATCTTCATTATTTAAAAAGACCGATGATGATTCCAACTTTGCAGCAAATAGAAGGTGATAACGATAACAAAATGGCTACTGAGTTATTGGACAGGGAACAGAGAATAGCAAAACTACAATCCATTATCGACGAACAGCGAGCGAATGAGAAGATAATGTAAGCGAAACCACAACTTCTTACAATATACTGAGTGCTACGTAAGGACTTGAATGTTCTAATATGGTTTACAGGGAGCAAAGTATGTCAGAGTATGAGACTCAATTAGCGGCTTTGCGTCTTGAAGTCAAGCGCTTAAGGAATTACGACTGTTACTCTAGGGATACTCCCTACCAGGATCTTAGAACTGAGGTTTGGTTAATATAATAATAATATAACTTTGAATACACTATTCTTTGATGTAAAGTCTAGATAAGGCCTTTACGGACCTTCTAAAGAACTCAACCTTCCTTTCGTCTTTGGTACTCATTTTGTTTTCGTTTGAATCTCTGTGTTAGTTGTTAGAGATGCAAATGCAAGTGGCGACTCTTAGCCGCGAGCGGTCTGCACTAGTAACGGCGGCGGCGTCACGCGCCCTCATGCTGGAGCGGTACGAACGCGCGGCGGACATGTTTGCCAAGGTTACGCGTGCGCGTCGGGACCTCGCGGCACAACTCGAGGGACAGCAAGAGCCTAAAGAGTTTGACGGAGCTACGGTCTGTTATTACGGCCAATTTATTGTTATGCGTTTGTAGTAAGAAATTTAAAATGTTTAATTTATATAATGGACACTTTTTAAACAGACGTCGCAAGTTGTGTCATCTCTATGCCAAGACGCAAACGACACGTGGTCGGCATTGCAAACGGAGCGGGCTAGGGTGCTCCAGCTGGAAAGCGCCATCTTGATGCAGAGCCTGCAGTTGGAGAGGGAGGGCAAGGTACGGACCCAATTGGAGAGACGAAAGGCTATGCTGGAAAGACAAATTCTTCGTCTTGTGGGCCCCGGATCCCAAAACACCCTTTTGTCTGATCAGTCATTATAAATTTATATCAAAATTAAAAAAAAAAGTCGTATTTCCAGGTTTCTCTTTCCTTACTTTTGCTTTAAAAATTCATTACCATTTAATCTTATCCTACTAAAATTTATTGTAATAAAGTCAATTACGGTAACTTATCCTTTCGTTTTATTTTTAAGCAAGTTTTGTCAGAACTTAGGAATTAAATTTTTTTATGATTAATAGTTAACATTTAAAACAGATCATTGCTAACTGATATACATCTTGGTAATACAAATGCAATGGAGTGTTTATAATATCAAAGAATAAAATTCACATTTTATAAATTATGTATTTGCTTTACTTTTAACGCAAATCCAATTTTTTTCTAATTGTCCGTCCACAAGACCACCTTTGTTACGGGTAATCTCCGAAAAGACTGGGCTGTTTTTGTTAGGACTGCCGGTAAGGTGGCTGATGTATGCGGAAATATTATAAGTTGTTTTTAATTCCGCGCTGACGAACTTGCGGGCCGATCGTTATTTATAAAATAAAAAGGAAATATACCTTTAAATTTTTTATATCAAAATGTTACACGGAAATATAAACAATATAATACAAATAATAAATTATTTTATAGTCTATGACCAGCCAATACAAACATTTTGTCCTTTTTATCGTTCAGATGCTTTCCATACAATAGTGCTTGTAAATTTCTTGATAATATTTTATCGTGTAAATGATTACCAATAACCTTTCGTTTTGGTTCTTCATTCGTGTCTAAATCCAAGTCGCATGTTTTTGCTTTTTGGCTATTATCACTTTTAGTATTAACTTCTTTACGATCTAAATGGTCACCATTAAACAAATCACATTTCTGGGTAACGGTGGCTTTTTTTACTACATTATCAGACAAGGCATATTTTTTTAGCAAAATTTTTTGCTCAAGAATGTTCGGTGTTCGTCGTTCGTGGTGCCTATCTTTATCTGAATTAATACTGTTTTTATTACCTTCTGAATTGTGTTCGTTGTGTATCTCTTGGACATCTATCGGAGTTTCCATTTCTTCTTCAAGTAGTTTTAAAAACTTATTTAGATTCTTCGAATTTGCCACAACTCCTTCCTTATATTGATGTGATTCATAAATTCCAATTTTAGTTTCTAACAAATTAATTTTGTCTTCGCATTTTTTTCTTATCGAGTTTGATTTGCGAACTTTCTCTTCTAAGGTTAAAACAATCTTCTCTAACTGTAATATTTGTTGTTTTCTAGTCTCTAAATTATTAGCAAGATTATTTATTTCTAATTTCTTTATTTCGAGCTCCTTCACAACCTGGAATATTCAATTTTACACATAAATCTTTTTATAATATATTAAAAAATGCTTACAAGACCAGTATCCAGAATAATTATCCCTTGCAACCCCTGCAACTCTTGCTCTGCAACTCCTGCAACTCTTGCTTTCCCTCAATTTTACCAGTAATTTATTTTTTATCTATCAGTTAAAAGAACGAACCTCCGAGTCTTCATTGCTCCGGACGTCTAAATTGTTTCTTAGTTGCTTAATAATATTACATTGTTCTTCTTCGGATTTTATTAAGGTTTTTATAAGATCCTCCTTTTCTTGTAACTTTTGTTTTTGTATTTTATTGGTTTCTAATGCTTCATTTAATTCCACCAAATTTTTTTGAAGTGTTTCAGAAATTTCGTTGTTTTCGTTAGTGACTTTAAGTAGCTCATCTTTTTGTTTCTTCAACTAAAATATTAAACATACTATTACAAAATACATATCGAGGAGTGTTTATATTAATTAAACGAAAAATTCCTTTACATAGGCTGATGAATACATATAAAAGCGACTTAAATATGTTTTATCAGTTTTCTTTAAATTTCACAAAATTACTTGACTGATGGACGGATGGGTAAAGTTTGCCCTTTCTTTATGTTCTTGTTTAGTGATTTTACTCATTGTACTTAATAGCAATTATTTAAAAGAATGTACCGTGTCGTATAGTTCATTAATATCTTTTAATCCACCAAACTGTTCTTGCAATTGCACAATGTGATCTTTTAATTGAATCAACTCTTTCTCATAGTATTCCATTTTAGATTCACTGTAAAATTAGAGCAAACTGTTTTGTAACAAACATCCTTATACATCATCGTAGCATAGTGGAGTTTACATATTTTATATTTTTGATGTTTAAATTAAAACGCAATAATTATAATTTATTACATACGTACCTATCTTGCAGTTGCGCTTTTAACATTTCTTCCCGATTTTTAAGTTCCTTTATATATTCTTCTTGGTCTAATATATTTCGATTCATTATTTCGTTCTCTTCTTGGGACAATTTGAGGTTAAACTAAAAATAAATTAAAAAACAAAATTAAGCAGTTACCCATATCTATGATGTTTCTTTAATTTATTTATAACGTTACCTCCATTTCACGAAGTGATTCAGTCTGTTGTAACAGTATGTTTTTATAGTTTTTAGTTTCTGAGCGTTCTTTCTCAAGGTCATTCTTTATATTATTAATTTCAATGTTCACATTATTTGTGCTAGCTGTAAAATACAAGTGAACATTTGGTATTATTTTCGTTATAAAGAATAAAAAAATCTTTTGCAACAAGCTATTCGTGCAGCGCCTGATGCTAGGGACTCTACCACTTAAAAATGATGTAGCTCACTGTTTAAACAGCGACAGATACTCTCTTTAAATGTAAACTAACCGTAGCGCTTACCTGATTTGAATTCCAACTCTTCTATTTTTTGTAAAAGCAATTTATTTTGTAACTCAACTTCCAACACTTGGTTACGATACTCCGATGCTAGTTTTATTTGTTCTTCAATTTCATTATTATACTTGGTTTCAGCTTCACTGAGCTTCATCATGTTCGCTTTAAGCTCTAACTTTGTATTGTTAAGTGATTCATTATAGTACATAGTAAGCTGTGCTAATTTGCTTTCAAGGTCGTTTTTCCTGTTTTAATGACAATTTTTATTATGAAACTGTTAGTGCGCAGACTGTTTTTAAAAATAGATAGTCCTTATTCTCATAATTTGGAAAAAAATATAGCAATTGAATACTATGCGTTTAGAAGTTTTTATTACAGTAAGTAGACTAAATAGTTTTAATTACAGTTCTGATGTATTTATTAATATACTCACTCGAATTGTATTTTTTCCCGATCTTGTGCTATCTGTTCTAAATTCATTGTATTTTCTATGACTGCTTCGTTCAACTTCTTTAATTCTTCATCATAGTTTCTTTTAAGTCTTTCGTTCTACAAAAAAACATATTTGTGGTTATGAACGAAAACATGATAACATGAGAACAAACACAAAGTACCAATCATGAAGTGTAATTTTAAGTCATTTCCTACGCTTTGTAAACATTGTTTGCTTAATTTATTTTATTCAACTTTTAACTTGTAAAATATTTGCATACACACTTGCTCTTGTAATTGCTTTATTAACGCCATCTTAGATTCTAATTCTGTGTTAACTTTATTCAAAGCGGCTTCTAATTGACTCGCGTGTTCAGCCTCTATCTTCATTTGGCCTTCAGCTTTCGATAGGCGATCTTTCATAGTCTTTTGTTTTTCTTTTAACTCCTTTTCAACTTCCTAAGTTATGATTTAGTAAAATAAATGATTAAATTAAATGACTAGACTATATTATTTATTAAATTAAAATTAGTGTCTTACCGCTTTATTTTTATTCGTATATGATTTTAAATGTTCTGCATTATTCAATTGCTTCTGAAGATCAGCATTGTGTGAATTTAGTTCTGATAATTTATATGTCAAGTTTTCGGTTTGCAAATGTAGAGCCATTGTATCGTTCACTCTTTCTCTGACGATAAAATAATTATTACTTTTCATTAGCAATACAGAGTGTTATTATAATATATTTTTTATATTTACCTTATGTAATATTCAATTTCTTGGACTTGCGTCATACATTCATTTCTAATCTTTTTCAAAGTGCCGGCCAACATGTCATTTTTCATATTGTATTCTTGTATTTTCTGCTTCAGACTCTGTACACTAATCTACGAATTAATAAAAAAAGTAAGACATGTTGAACCAAATGATATTTTGAGATACACACATCATCACGTAGCAAGTGGCCACAGAAGTTTGCGGAAACAGCGAAGCAACTGCTGTCCATAGACATTCGCAATTGCAGATGCGTCGCCAACTTTTAATCGACAGTGGGGAAAAGGCTTAGAAAGATAATAGTTTTCCTTTCTATGCGTCTTCCGCAAAATCAATTTTCTATTAAAAGATGGGAAATCTTCTCCATATAAGAGGACTAGACTTAGGCGTCAGGCTCGCACACGTATCAGACGAAATTTGGAATTACTTCCACTTCACGCTTATCTTCTGTGGGATCGTGGTATTTCTCCGGCAGAGCCGGCCCTTTCGTATAACAGATGTTGGCATTTACCAGTATTAAGAAGATTATATTGACTTAGACTTGGTTATGTTATTTTTTGATAAAACTAAATGAGTAACGATGCAGGTACCTGCGATTTCAATGAATCAAGCCACTCTATTATTGTTTTCTTATTATCTAAAGCTTGTTCACATGTTGCAAATAATTTTTCTGGTATTTTGTATAATTTATCCAAAACCATTCTATTATCCAAAGGTAATTCGTCTAGAACTAAAATAATAACATAATTATCATTTTATTTAATTACTATGTTATTTTAAAACAGGAAGTTGTTGTTTATATTTTCAATAATTATTGTATAGTGGCACGTTTTCATTGAAGATGTTTTTATAAAATATCGCGAGCGATTTGTTCATATTTAACACGAAAGAGAATGAAAATACAATTTTCACCTCTAGTAGCTTCTAACACGGTAGCTAAGTGATAATTAGAACGTTTAAAATATTAATTTGTTTCCCTTGAAGCATATTAGGAATAAATTCGCTAACCTCATAATCTTCATAATAAAGTACAAGAACGAGAAAAAAAATTACCATTAATATTGTTTTTTATCTTAGAACTTTCTGCGCACAGTTTGAGCAGCTGTTCCGGTGTCATTTTGGCAACGTTCATGATATGAAGGTCCTCAACGAGCGGCACATCCGCGCTGTGCCCTGCCGCTACCATTTTCTTGTGTATTATATTTAGCGATGCATAAAGATCTAATA